AATAAGATATGTGGTGTTCAGAATGCCTAGCAATAAATCTCCAGGACCTGATGGATTCACTACTAAATTCTTCAAAGCTTCTTGGAATGTTATTGGGAAAGACTTCATTGTTGCTGTGCAGTCTTTTTCAGTAAAGATTTTCTACTGAAGGGGTTAAACTCTACTATCTTGGCCCTTATACCTAAAAAAGACAGTGCTCAAGAGATGAGAGACTACAGACCGATCTCATGTTGCAATGTTTTATATAAGGTGATCTCCAAGATTATAGCAAACAGATTGAAAGGTACTCTTCCTCGGTGTGTCTCCTATAATCAATCTGCTTTCATAAAGGATAGGCTTTTGGTGGAAAACTTGTTATTAGCTACGGAGATTGTCAAAGACTATCACAAGGAGGACGTCTCGCCTCGTTGTGCAATGAAGATTGACATCGCAAAAGCTTTTGATTCAGTCCATTGGCCTTTCCTTTTGAACACTCTAAAGGCGCTGAACTTGTTGGATGAGTTCATTCATTGGATCGAGTTGTGTGTGTGCACTGCTTCTTTTTTGGTACAAGTTAACGGTGAGCTTGCTGGGTTTTTTCGAAGCAAAAGAGGACTGAGACAAGGTTGTGCCTTATCCCCCTACTTATTTGTAATCTGTATTAATGTGCTCTCTAGTATGCTTGACAAGGCAGTGGAAAGGAAGCAAGTTGCACTACAAGAAAAATGGCTTTTATTAGCGGACGAAAAACGCTATCTATCGATACGATAGCGGTTTATGAAGCGCTGTATCATCACCCGTCAGAATAGGTCAAGCACTTTATATAGCGGTTTTTTGCACTGCTATCTTATTGTTATATATTATAGCGTTTTTTTGTATGCAATTAAATAGTCTTTGATAGCATTTCTTTTTGGTTATTATTTATATTATTGAAAATTAAAAAATATATATTATATATATATATACATATATCATTTTAAAAATATGTAATATATCAAAATTATAATTTATAAATTAGTTTGAATTACAAATGGTTAACATGAAAAAAAGTAAACCAAATAAACCAACTAAACCAAAAACCTAAACCAGAAACTTAAACCTAATTCCTAACTAAATGGAAGCGGCCGCACAACCACCACCTTCTTCGTCTTCTTCATCTTCTACTCACCCGCCACACCACCACCTATCGCCGTATACATCTCATCTCTCTGTCCATCCCGTCGTCCTCCTCCACCAGTCATCGATGTTCTCCTCCTTCTCATTCACCGTCGCGTCCTCCTCCATTCAATGTATCGACAAAGCCCTGTCTTATCTCCATCTCCGCCTCTTTTCTTATTCTTCTTCTTCTTGCTCGGCTCCACCCTCACGTCTGTCTTCTCTGCATCTCTTCTTCTCTGGTTCCACCTCCACTCCCACTGCTAACTTCCGGTTACACCATAGATTCTCCAGATCCGCCACAAGCCCATGACGAAGATCTGTTTCTCTGTTACAAAATCTCAAAAAAACAGGAATCAAAACCACATAACTGAAGAAAGTTACCAGAGAGAGAGAGAGAGAGAGCAAAGATCGTGGAAGGGAGATGAGGAGGAGATCAAGGAGAGATCGTGAGTTGAAGAAAAAAATGAGAGAAAGGAGAGAGAATAATGAATCTAGGCCGTCGGATTAGATCGCATCCAATGGATGAAAAATGTTATCCTTGTACATAAAGATTTGGCCATTGAGAAAGAAGGGAGAGGATTAACCAAGAGTGATTGATAGCCATTGGATTAAAAACATCAATGGTCAAAACTAATCAATCAAAAATTGTTTTTATTTAACAATTGTTTAAATATTATAATTTGATTTTTCAGTAATTTTATCTATATAAAATTAAATTATCATTTATATTTATAAATTTAATGATATATAACTTTAACAAAATGATTAGCTTTTATTTTTATGATTTATAATTTAAGATTTATGTAATAAGTTTTAAAATTTTTATCTAAAGTTTGGAGGTTATAATAAATGTTTGGATATTGATTTAAGATTTGATATTAACATTTGAAAAATATCATATTTGAGTTTTATTAAGATTTAAAGTTAAATTTAAGATTTGATGTTAAATATTAGAGTTTAAAGTTTGTGTTTATAGTTTAGGGGTTAATGTATAAGGTATAGAGATTGAAAAACCAAACAAAGCATATCAAATTTGAGTTCAAATTTGAGATTTGAAGTTATATTACGAAAATATAAGAGTTTTAAAGTTTATATTTAGAGTTTAGTGTTTAAAAACTTATTTAGGGTTTAGGGATTTAAAAACCTAAACATAGCGTTTAAATTGTTTTGCTATTAAACATATGCTATCATAGCGTTTCAAAATATACTACTCTATCATAGCGCTTCTAAATACACAAACGCTATTTAAAACTAACGGGTATGTCAAACATAGCAGAAAGGTAAAAAACGTTATCCTTCTCTGCTATTAAAACCAATATTTCTTGTAGTGTTGGCTTTCACCCTAGATGCAAAAACATTATGTTGTCACATTTGTGTTTTGCAGACAACCTGTTGGTTTTTACGGATGGTACTAAACGTTCGATTGAAGGCGTTCTCAAGGTGTTCACCCGAGTTTGCAGAGATTTCAGGTCTAAAAATTAGTCTGGAAAAATCTACTCTTTACACTGCTGGTATTTCTGAGAATACAGAGAAGGATATTCTTATGGCTTTCCCTTTTGCTTCCAGAAATCTTCCAGTTCGATATTTAGGCTTACCTCTCCTAACCAAGCGCATGACTATTAATGACTATATGCCTCTTGTAGAAAAAATCAGGAAGAAATTGAGCTCTTTGATAGGGAGAAGCTTGTCTCATGCTGGTCGTTTGTAGCTCATTAGCTCTGTTATTACAAGCTTGGCAAATTTTTGGATGACAGCTTTTAGACTTCCGGGGAGCTGTCTGAAGGATATTGAAAGATTATGCTTTGCTTTTTTGTGGTCTGGTCCAAATCTTAAGACAACAAAAGCTAAAGTCTGTTAGAAAGATATCTGCATTCCAAAACACGAAGGAGGATTGGGGCTCCGGCCTCTGAAGGAAATTAACAAAGTCCATGGATTGAAACTGATTTGGAGATTGCTGTCAGAATCATCTTTATGGGTGAGATGGATACATTGTTATCTGATCCGGAAAAATTCCTTCTGGTCTATTAAAGAAAACACAAACTCTGGATCATGGGTATGGAGAAAGTTACTTAAACTAAGAGGTTGTGCAAAAAATCTCCTTCGGAAGGAAGTCCGAAATGGGAATGATACAGCTTTCTGGTATGATAGTTGGTCAAGTCTTGATGTTCTAAAAGACATACTTGGAGAAAATGGTCCACTGGTTTTAGGGATCCCTGATCATTATTCTGTTACGGAGGCAAAGAGTATGAGGAGAAAGAGAAAACATAGAATGGACATTCTGAATAAAATTGAAGAGGAGATAAATAAACTTGGGGAGCATCACGATGAAGACATTGTTTATGGAAGCAGGCGGATGGTAAATTTATGAATAAGTTCTCAACAAAGAAAACTTGGGAGTAAATTCGTGATATGCGTTCTGTTTGCAATTGGGACAAGGGAGTTTGGTTTTCCCAATCTACTCTAAAGTATTCTATTATGATGTGGGTAACCTTAAAAGGGAGATTGCAAACGGTAGACAGGATGCAACTTTGGAATAATTCTATAAACACTACTTGTACTCTGTAATCAAGCACCAGAAACTTGTATAAATCTGTTTTTTGGATGTAGTTATGCTGGGCAGGTTTGGAGAAACTTGGTAGAAGGGATTATGGGAAACGAGTTCACTGCAGTTTGGAGTGAGTTGATTGAGATTATTTCTAAACCATGGCTAACTCTTATAAAGACCTTCATTCTTAGATATACTTTACAAGCTATAATGCATTCAGTTTGGTGGGAAAGGAATGCTCGCAGACACGGTGAAGAGCCAAAAGACATTTCAAGTCTAACGAGTTTTGTTGATAAAAACGTGAGACTAAAGTTACTTTCTCTCAAGGAGAAGTGGAAGCATTTTGAAGCAGGCTTGATAACGTGGTTTGGTAGTAGGCTCAACTCTTAATTCTCAGGAGCTAGAGGAGAGTGTTTCACATTGATAGAAAAGTTGTTTTTTCTTCTTTTGGTTCCTCTTTTAACACTCTCCTGATCATGGGATTTTTACTAGTTTCCTTACTAAAATTTTGTCCCATTTGAGTTTTTTTAGTGAGGTTTTAATGAGAAGAATTTCATGGTCCCTCCAACTTTGACTTATTCCACATGGTTAAATTTGAGGGGGAATGTTAAATTTGTGAGGTTTTTTTTTGTTTTAGTTTTTTTGGGTTGTTTATCTTGTTTTTTGGGGGTTTGTTCCTCAATTGATATACTGATGCACTTGTTGTAATGAGGTTTTTGTTTGAATAAAATTTTTACATTCATTTAAAAAAAAAAAATGCGAGGAGTGACTCTATTAAAGAAGATTATTATTAATGCGCCGAAGACTTCATATGAGTTTGGAAATAAAATCTGAAAGGAGAGGTATCAAGCAAGTAAGCATGAACTTGTGGACACTATAGAGAAAAAGAAACACAGAACTTTGTGGACGAGCTTCAACAAAGCTGCAAAGCCCATAACCAGGCTTGGGCTCAATTAAACGGTAAGGATCACGATATCATCTTCAATAGCATGTTTCAGCCGTCAGATTAATAGTTCGCTTATAATTGCTTACGTGCGCCTCAGAACACTTGATTAAACTCCCTATTCTTCATCCAGAAGAAAAAAACAAGACAAAGGAAAATTAAAATATAAGCGGTGGGAGCATTTAAGTTAATTTATTTGAATTTAATATTAACTTTTTTTTTTTACCTGCACTCACGTCCTCTGCTCTCTCTCTCTCTTGAGTCTTTCATCACTCTTCAGAAAAAAGGAAAACGAGCAAAAGAACAAAAAAAGAAAGCTGTCCAATGGAGAAATGAGATTCTTGAGAGATAAGTTTTGGTTGTGAAAGATCAAAGATGATGATGCTTAGATATACACTTGCATGTCTTCTCACTTTCTCTTTCGGTCTCACTTCTTCCTCTGCTCGACCAGGTTCTTTTTGCCAGATGTTGAAACTTTCAGCTTTACTTGATCTACCTGAGCTTTCTTTTTGCTATGTGTAGTTCTCTTACTTGCAATATGGTTTCTCTTGATTTAAAATCTTGATTTGCGTTTCACCTGGATTCCCTTTCTATGTCCTTGTTTTCTCCGTTTTTTGTAGATCACTATTTCCTTAACTGAATTTCATAAATGTTATTTTCGTAGCTTGAATCCTCTAGCGCTGGAACTTTCTAAAAATTTCGAGTTCTTGATTTACCCACGGTATACGAGTTGCTATTTCTTGAACTTGATTTTGGACGCTGGAGTCGATTTTAAACATACTGATCTGCGTATTTTCTGCCGATTACTCATAGATCTTTTCTTACATTGCCCTGTTTAAGCTCGAGCAACAAAGATTCGTCTCTTGTGGCCATAGCTAAAGCTGGTCGTAATCTTTTATTAAAGTGTTCCGTATGTTTTACACTTGAAATCATGTTCTGATACTATCAACAGAAGTTAAATCTGTATGGGTCTTATAGGAATAGCTAATGTTTTCTTCTTCTTATAGTCAATATTCATACAAAAAAAATGTTTTGTGTGTTTGGTTAATGCACATCCAACTATAATCTATCTTGCAATTTTGCAGCACCATATGCCTTGCGGATCAGCTGTGGAGCTAGAAAAAACGTTATAACACCACCAACTTACGCACTTTGGTACAAAGACATTGCCTATACAGGAGGCGTACCTGCAAACGCAACTGCACCTAGTTACATAACTCCACCCTTGAAGACACTTCGTTATTTCCCAATCTCTGAAGGTCCAAACAACTGCTACAATATAGTGAGAGTCCCAAAGGGACATTACTCAGTGAGGATCTTCTTCGGAGTGATTGACCAACCTAATTTCGACAAAGAGCCTCTCTTCGACATATCCATCGAAGGCACTCAGGTTTACTCTCTAAAATCTGGTTGGAGTGGCCATGATGACCAAGTCTTTGCTGAAGCTCTCATTTTCCTTATGGGTGGGACATCTACAATTTGTTTCCACAGTACTGGTCATGGAGACCCTGCTATCCTCTCTATTGAGATTCTCCAAGTTGATGATAAGGCTTACAACTTCGGCAAAGGCTGGGGACAAGGAGTGATTCTGAGAACAGCTACAAGGCTGTCTTGTGGGACTGGGAAGCCGAGGTTTGGTGAGGATTATCATGCAGATCATTGGGGTGGTGATAGGTTTTGGAATCCCATGAGGTCTTTTGGCAAAGGTGCTGACTCTCCAAGATCAA